TTCTCCAAACATACTTCAATAAACATCCAAATAAAAGGGTAGAATTTGGAGGGAAGGAGTAGGGATGATTGGAGACACATTATTAGAGAAGAGGACAAATCAACATTCTACCATTTATTTTTGTTCTGGATGGTATCTTCTCCCCTCTCCCCCCTTTTTTTTTTCCTGCTGCAAACTTCTCCCATTTTTTGGCATGTAGTAAAAAAAAAAAAAAAAAAAAAAAAAAGTAACCACAATATCATTATTCCGCTTTAAAAACTTAATAAGAATTTTTACAATCAATTGTTAAATTGATTTGACAATTTTTATCAATTTTCAAATTTGAGCCCATTCAGGGCTGAAAATTCCAATTACCTCATAAATGTTCCTGTTAGAATCAGGATCTAAATAAGGTCCACACTTTGTGATTGGTTAATGTATATTTCATGTCTATTTTAATCAGTTGATTCTCCCCCAGTCAACACCTCTTTTTCTCCCTACTGAAATTTTATGCACTGGTGTGTGTTGTTTGTTTTATCACATTGCCCACAGTCTGGATTTTGCTATTTGCATACCTGTGGTGCAGCCTGATACAATTCAAGGTCCTTTTTTTTTTTTTTTGGCACGACAATCATAAGTGTATTCTTTCATGAGGAGGCACTGGATGTTTGATTGTTTCCTTCTTTTGTGACGTTCATAGCCATTGATGGTCAAGGGCCAAAATCCATCATTAGTTCATTAAGAGGTTCAAAGTGATGATATTCTAGTTTCATCAACTTTTCTTTATTTATTAGCTGGAGCACTTTCTATAAGGAGAAATTTCTCATTTACTGTTTCATTACCTGGGTATCCCATTTTTAATATTTTTTAAGTGACATAAAATACTTCTTTCTTATTCTTTACTTACCAGATTGCAAGTGATGAGTTAAGTTACTAGTATTATCCAACAGTGATAAGTTAGTATTTCTTTAAGTATCCTTATGAAATGATAGATCAGCTCCATTACAATGTTTACCCTTATTGATGTGCAATTTGTTCGATCTCCGGCCATCAGGAGCTTCTTCCAAGTTGACCGAAATTCTTTTGAAATGATCCTAATAACTTTGATAACCTCTTTAGTATTTAGTTTGACATGTTCCAGATCACTTGCTTATTTCCTGTCCAGACCTGGAATCAGCTATTTCTCCACCAAGTTCTAATATCTGTCTTTAAAGAGCTGTAGTCATTGTTTTCCTTACATAATGCAGAATATATATGGCACATGTAAACAAACCAAAATATTAATATGCTAATAAATGCAAGGCTCCTATTTTATTAAAGATGTTCCAAAGCACTCAAACCAGTAGCAATCTTCAAATTATGAAACAGTTAAAATATATCTTTATTGTATTAAAACATCCTGGAAAGTGCTAATAGCTATTATGAAGACATCAGAGGTCAGTGTTTCATTAAACAGCTAATCAGAAATTTGAAATGGGTCTGAATTATCAAAATAACAGTCTAGAAAGGGGTAGGTTATAGATTCAGAATTATTTACCTACCTACCTTGATAGGGTTTAAGGTAGATTGTAGAGGTCTGTACCATGCCACACCCAGATATTATCATTGCTTTCCTGGAGAGTTCTTCTTCTTCTTCTTCTTCTTCTTCTTCTTCTTCTTATTATTATTATTATTATTATTATTATTATTATTATTTTGAGGAGTCTCCCTCTGTCACCCAGGCTGGATGGAGTACAGTGGCATGATCTCGGGTTACTGCAGCCTCTGCTTCTCAGGTTCTAGCAATTCTCCTGCCTCAGCCTCCTGAGTAGCTGGGATTACAGGCATGTGCCACCATGACTGGCTAATTTTTTTGAATATTTAGTAGAGTAGAGAAGGGGTTTCACCATGTTGGCCAGGCTGATCTCGAACTCCTGACCTCAGGTGATCCACCCACTTCCACCTCCCAAAGTGCTGGGATTACAGAGATGAGCCACCGTGCCTGACCGGAGCTCTGATTATTTTATGGTTACATTATCTGTTTGTTTCTTTGATAACAGAGACAAGTCTTTCTGATGCTGTAGATTTCAGTTAGACCTTTCTAACTAATGTCCCTTGGCGATTCCTACCACCAGCATATGTGGTGGGATTTACAATCTCTACATAAGAGATTTTGAAATGGAGTCTTCCAGTGAGAGCAACAGTTGTAAAAACCAGTGATAATTTCTTAGCCAAGAGGTGACATCAATATTTTAAATTCAAATATAGGCAGCAAGAGGAATCTCTGAGGTTAGGAAAGGTTCCTATATCTACTGTCCCTTCTATGCTCAGCTCTGAGCTCTCAGTTGGAATTTTACAATCCTTCATAGGAAATTAGCAATTTGTCACATTCCTAATGCTTACTTAAGTAAAAATTTTAATGACCCCACTGATGTGGTTTTCTTATAGATGCCCAGGGCCTTATGTTTTCAAATGCGTTCTTTCTGGTATGACTTGCAAAACTGAGCCTTTGCAAAGTAGAGCCAGATGTTAAAATATCTCTTAGATATGCATGTGATCATTTAATCTAAACAGACCAGGTTCTTTTGGGAGACAACTTGAGATATACCACATAAGTATATGGTGATTTCGATTTGTTAGAATTACTAATTGAAGAAAAACATGTAAAAGTGAAAGTTATTCCTGATTACTCATGCTAGAGTTGGATGCAAGTTAGAGAACTGGAGGTGCTAGAGATAATAGATAAATTATAGGTACAAAACCTATTTCCCTGAGTCTTGTTTCAAAAATAGATGAAATGCCCCAATTTTTTAATGCTCCTCTCAGATAGTTCAAGCCTAGGAATATTGTAGATGCTTATGGTGCCTTAGGGGTCTGAGTAAGTATGAAACATGGGGCCTTTGGCTGGTGGATACAATGGAATAATGGCTAGAGAGAGAGCTATGGAAAGGCCAGTTCTTAATGAGGGAAAGAAGAATGAGGTACATTATCAATCTCAAATGAGTCATAGGGAGGAGCCAAATTGTAAAGCTGAATGTATTAGTAACTGAAGGAAGCCACTGCCCAAGGAGGTTTGAAGAAAGCAGAAAGAAGTTGGAACTTGTAGAGAGTCCGGGATCCAGCGTTTCAATATTCATCATTTTATTTTATTGAGACTGGATGTGCTGAGAGCAATTAAAAGATTGGAGGCAAAGCAGACATAACCCTGAGATGGTGGTACACTGAAAAGAATAGGACACAGTTATATTTTATTGTGTCCGTTGATGGAATCTTTCAA